ATAATTCAGGTCATATCTAATTTCATTTTCTTTCTACACATTTACCTGTCAAAGTGTACAAAAAGTTATGATTCATTTATACAATCCTTACTATCACTACAGGAGTTCTGTACACAAAATTCCTAAGTCAGCATGGGTGACTAACGGCCTAGCTACAGAACTAACTCCAAAAATGCCTAGCCGTCTAGCTCGTCACTCCCCCGGGGTTCCCACGCGTTGGGTCTCACTACCTGAAATGGTGGACAAGGAAACCGTGAGATAAAATATCTCAGTAAGTAAACATGGGTGCCCGAATCAGGATTTAAAGCATGCCAAATAATTGGTTAAAACATGAACAGAGCGTTTCAAGAACAGAGCGTGTCAAGAACAGAGCATTTCAAGCACAAATCATTAATGCAAAATAAAATCACGTAGTGGTCTCCTCTATTAGTCATGGCCAGTGTTATAAACCTCCCACTGGCAGGCTACAGAAGTTACTAGTGTATAATCCCCACTAGTAGGGCCACGAGCGAACTGGTTCTATCACGAACATGTCGACATGTGCTAGCGTTTATAAACCTCCCACTAGCGGGCACACGATTTTCACGACCATATTAGAGACAAAACCAAGCAAACTTTACAAACAAAACCGAAATTCACAATCGTTCTCACTTTCAAGAATAAATCAAAAGGATCTCATGTGGCATGCTTAATTCTAGAAAATAAGGAAAATGATAAAAGTTTAATTTCCCTTTTCAATCATGCTCAAATGCGAATAAATCCATTTAAACCTCGCCACCATCTCAGAAAACAATTAAAATATGCTTCAAAATTTTACGGGCTTTACCATAATTTACTTACCTTAGTCACGCAGAACAGGAGGCCTAATCCAAGTGCTAAGACCACAGGGCAAACAAGGACCTATTCACAATATTCTCGATTTAATATCTATAAGGAAATTTTATTCCTTTATTTATTTTCATTTCTGCTTTTCTATCCGGAAATTAAGCATTAATCGGGATTGGTTATTTATCTATGTATCTACCATTATATAATTACCCATATACCATTTTCCTCAATTTCATGGACAAGCAATGGGGGAACCGGCCTTGACAAAAATGGCCAACTCACGGGGTTCTCCCCTTTCCTCATGGACACACACACACAACAGCCAAAACCCCCTAATTTCCTACACAATTCATCAACCAAAACCCATTTCTCAATTCGCCGAAACCCATCCCCCACCTTCGGCATCTTGGTCCTTGACAACCCAAACACCCACACAACTAATTAAGCTCACAAGCAACAATTAATCCACCAATTTTCAAGGATTAGAGA